CACCTCTCCCCAGTCAGCCCCCCCAGCACCTCTCCCCAGGCAGCTCCCCTCCCCCCACACTTTGAGTGAGAGCCACTCGACAGTCATCTGATTCCATACATGCCAGGCCCAAACTCAAGCCACAGGGTCAAGTCCAGGAGCTCTTGGTGCTCCAGCCCAGCTCTCATCCAAACAGGCAGCAAATGGAACAATGTCAACCCAGAAGCCCCAGGATTGCCCGCAAGCATGCAGGCATCTCCCAACAGGGAAGGGTTAATTTTGCAGACAGCAAGAAGCCCTCTCTGACCCACAGCCAGACAGTCTGAGAAACATAATTAGCCAGGGCGCAGGGCTGGGCGTGTGCATTTACCAACATGAACCTCCCTTACGAGGGGACGCGGTGGCCCAGAGAGTCAGTTGTGGAACATCACTGTGTCTCCCAGGCACACGCTCAGGCCTCAGACTCACTCTGGCCTGAAGCCCCTTTTTTGGGGCCATAACGGGGGCGGTCATTCTACCCTGTCTTCTTCTGAGGGAGCCGTACTTTGGCTCCCAGGCCTGCACAGCTAGTGACTGGGGCACCACACTTGGGAGATGTAGCCTGAAGCAGGGACAGGTTGGCGGGAGTTTGGAACTGGAGCTGTCGCTCCCTGCCATGCCCCATTTCTCAGAGCTGAAGTCAGGCCAAGGTGAAGCAGTGTTTAGCCAGGCCAGAGGACGGCTGGCCCAGCTCCAAGCCATTCCCAAAGGCAGCTCTGAAGCTGAGCAACTGCTCCCCGGCCAGCATACCTGTGCTGGCCAGGGGCCTCAGCAGATCAAGCCAGTTCTGGTTCTAATGCCAAGAAGAGTTACCTGGCCAGGCCTTTAACCCTGCGTTGCCAGGACATGGCTCCTGCTAATTTCATACGTTACAACTGGGAAGATGAGGCTCCAGTAGTATCAGCTCCAAGCACTCAAAAGTCGAGTTGCACCCAAGAGATGCTCTAAAGCCAGGAGCCCTTTAGAACCCCCCTGTGGGGCCTGCACACCTGCCTGGAACCGGAGCCTTTTGGAGGTACTGGCCAGCGTTTCCGCACAGCCACAAGGGCGCGAAACGGACTTTCCAAGACCCCAAGCTAAGACTCCAGGGTAGCTCCTGGTTCCAGCAGCTGGGGCTTTAAGAAAACACCTAATGTCAGGAGACAAGGGACCAAACCATGAGAGTGGGGAGCATGCGCCACTCCTCCCACCCCAGCCCCTTCCCCCCACCTGCCCCATGAGGGTCTCACCTGCTTTGGGCCGGAGACCTCACCCTCCCGGCTGGACTTCCGAAGCTGCAAGGAAAACCCGGCCTGTCAGCGGCTTCTGCTGCTGGTGGAGCCAGGTGCGGGAAGGGCTAGAGAGGAAGCAGTTCAGGCACCCAGGTGGCTGCGCAGCCCAGGCAGCCAGCAGGGAGGGGGAATAAGATTAACAAGGCTCTTCCTTGTGGGCAGGGCTGGTGAGAGGGTCTCCGGCCTGGGGGGAGGGGTAGTGTTGCAGGGCAGCATGTAGATCTTGGCACCCCAAAGTAGGCTCGCTGCCCACCTCAGCACGGCTATGCCCCTCATGGGCCAGGACCCTTACGCTGGCGGAATTACAATGGCATTTTTATTTGTATTTATTTGATAAATGCTCTGATCCTTCCCCCACCAAATCTTAGCCGGACCCCAGGCGGGCTGCCCAGGAAATAGAGGGGATATTGTAAGGATGAGATCCCCAGGGGATACGTTGTGGGCAGCCCAGGTCAGGCCATGCAAGGCCTGGGGAAGCGGGTTGTTCAAGACCACAGCCAGGCTGCCAAGACCTGAGGCTGCCCCTGTATCTGAGACCAGGGCGCATGTGCAATCCGCCAGACCCAGCAGCAGGTGCAGGCCTGGCCGCACAACGAGCTGCCATAACAGCCAGCATTCCTGAAAAAGGCCAAGGGGTCGACTCAAGATCTGTGCATGTCAACCATGCCCAGATCTGTGGTGTCTGGGCCCCCCACCGAAAAGAGCCCCACTCTGGCCTCACAGCCCCGAAGCTGCGAGCACCATGCAGAAAGGAGACACTGACCCGCTTCTTGTAGTAAATCCTCCATTTGTGATATTCCTTCATCACCACCTCAATCCGACGCTTCCAGTAGTTCCCCTCCAGCACGACAGCCTAGCAAGGAACAGCCAGCACACCGGTCACAGGCACCTTCAGCAGGCCCCCAGATGTTAGCTCCCCCAGCAACCCGCACTGGGACAGGCTGGGGCTGGCATCGCCAGAAGCTCCCTCCAGCCAGGGCTCCTGCCCCCACTCCGCACAGTGCCCCCTGCTGGGACAGGCTGGGGATGGCATAGCTGGGAGCTCCCCCCCAGCCAGGGCTCTTACCCCACTCCGCACAGTGCCCCCTGCTGGGACAGGCTGGGGATGGCATAGCTGGGAGCTCCCCCCCAGCCAGGGCTCTTACCCCACTCCGCACAGTGCCCCCTGCTGGGACAGGCTGGGGCTGGCATCGCTGGAAGCTCCCCCCAGCCAGGGCTCCAGCCCCTCCCCATAGCACCTACAGCTGGCAGAGGCCTGACAAGCACATCTCCTTCCCCAGCTGCAGGAGAGCAACATGGCTCCCGTCTGGGCACTTGGCCTCTGGGTTGGTTTTCCCCTCAGCCAAATGAGCAGTCACTGCCTACAGGGCTCTGAGACCTGCAGAGCCACCCCCCATCACTGCCCCCAGCCTGTCAGAGCCAGCTGAGCGCAGACCCCTAAGTCCCAGCCAGCAGCTAGGGTTGCCAGATGGTTTCAACAGAAATCCTGGACACACTTGACATGACATCACAATCCACATTCCGTCTTATTTAGAAAATACAGGACAGTTCGATTTTCTCCATTTGTTTCCCGGACAGAAAGCTCAAATACTGGACTGTCTGGTACAAAACCGGACACCTGGCAACCCTGGCAGCAGCTCCAGTGCTAACCTCCCCCTACACCCCATGACCGAGAAGAGCCCTTCTGTACATACCTCTGGTTTCCTGTGCTCATCAGCCTCAGAGCCCTCCAGGGGCGTCACAAACCCACACACGAGGCTCTTCCTCTGCTCCACATCTGTTCATGAGAGGCCAGAGTCAGGGTCTAGTTGCCCTCTACCCACACTGGCACCTTTCCTGTCCCCATCCCCCTAGGACTGGACTCACCCCATCATCACCCAGACAGCAGGAGGACTGACCCTCCTTGCTCAGTCACTCACCACTCCCCCACCTTAGGAACCTCACTCCCCCAAAGCCATTGCAGGGTGGGGGCCAGGTTACTTGAGCCAGAGGCCTGCAGGGGAAGGGGAAGGGCCCAGCCTCAGGGAGCCAGGCCGGGTACTCACACTGGATGTACCAGGCTCTCCAGATAGCGTTGTTGAGGCGGATTTTATCCCGGCCTCCTTGCTCAGTCACTCACCACTCCCCCACCTTAGGAACCTCACTCCCCCAAAGCCATTGCAGGGTGGGGGCCAGGTTACTTGAGCCAGAGGCCTGCAGGGGAAGGGGAAGGGCCCAGCCTCAGGGAGCCAGGCCGGGTACTCACACTGGATGTACCAGGCTCTCCAGATAGCGTTGTTGAGGCGGATTTTATCCCGGCAAAGCAGCCTCAGACCCTTGAAATTCTTCCACTTCGGAGACACTAGCTTCCCACTGAAACACCAAGCACAGGAGAGGGCCATGTCTGCTACTGACTGGGTCCTTTGCCAGAAGTGTCCCCCCAAACCCATTCTAGTGGATCCCCTTGCTGCTCCCAGATTAGCACTGAGCAGAGGTTCCAAGCTCCTCCCCAGCACTAGCTGCCCAGGGGTTGCCACCTTGCTTTCACATTGCTCTTCATTGCTTCATCTAGCTCCTGGCTGGGTCACTGTGCTGGCATCAGATTAGCCTTCCCCTGGAGACCAGCTAGTGCCGCTTGCAGCTGTTCTCTATCCATCCCAAATGGAGCCAGCTGAGGTGAGGCCAGGGGGCCAGGAGAGGGAGCTGTCAGTCCAGATGCTGAGGACAAGCCCAGGAGAGGCCCCTGCAGGCAGGAAGC